TGCACGCCCTGCAACCCCCTACCGCGGCCCCGAACGTCCCGCTCCTTCTCGCCGCTTCCTGTCTTCGTCTACCAAAAGCCTAGCCCCGTCTCGGTTCGTCTTCCTCTCTCTCTCTCTCTCTCTCTCTCTCTCTCTCTCTCTCTCTCTCTCTATGTGTATATATATATATATATATATATATATATATATATATATATATATATATATGCAGTACCCTCTCTCTTTTTAGCCCCGTTGCTGACGCCGATTCACGTACAGTCGCTTCATCTTCCGCGGACCCGGCGTAAATGCTCGAAAGGAACGGTCTATCGGGGACTTTCGATTATCGGGCAAGTCGGAGATCGATCCCATCGCGGAAAAGGGAAACATCGCCTGCAGCCGAGCATCGACTTCCAGCCAGGGGTCGCGACCCGCGATCCTGTTTACAGATTCGCGGACCATCTCGTGTTTCTACCGCTGCCGTATGCCGAGTGCCGAACGTCGGACGCGTGGCCGGCCGACTTTATTTTTTCATCTTTCGAGTCGATTCCCGCTTTCTTTCGTTTCGTCTGGACAATATTCGATCACGATTTTCGATCTTCGAAGCCCGTACTACCTTTAAACGGCTCCGTAACGTAATTGCCTCCGCGAAAGCTTTCGATCGAACGTAACCTTCCAACATTTTCGCCGTGACGTTGCGCGCAGAGATTTTGCTCGCCCCGATGCAGGCGGTCGGAACGATGATGCACCGCCGAGCGTCGCGCGGCACAACGATACATTTCGTAATTGACTCGACCGAACAGAGTTCCTCGATGGCTGCGGAATCGACCGGAAATTTCTGTCGGAGCGATAGACACCAAAGTCGTTGATTATTTTATTCTAGCAGCCGCAGCGCGCCTTCGAAATATCCGACTCTGGAACATTCGGTGTGTGAAACCGTTTCCTTGTTTTATTTCAAGTATGTTCTGTAACGATCTTTTCGTGTCGGAATTCCGGGAGATACTCGATCGTATCGCTCGATCGAGAAGACAGCGAATTCGAAAATTGTGTCGCGCGACGCGCATTTCACCGGTAACTTTTCTCTAATTTCAACCGGTTTCGATACGAATTTCAAGAATAAAGGGGGATTTAAGATTTCACGAATTATTTTGAAGCGTTACTTTTTATACGATCTTTCGTTTAAACGTGGAAAAGTATTTCTCGATGAAACGATGGCATCGAAAAAGATGTTCTCGAAGGCTATGCAGCACTCGATCCGTTTATTTGTTATTCGAGACCCTAGTTATTGAATTATTCATTGCTCATAGGAAGCCTATGTACATTCGATATTTATTATTCGTAGCATCCAGTTCGTGTTTATTTCAAAAGAACGACGTTCGTTATGCCTGATTTATTCCACGGCTGAATTCTGTTCTACCCCGTCGACTTACTTTTTCTCCCTCTTTCCCTTCTCTCGCTGGTAAATATTTATAAGCAATTATCTTAATCGTAACGGACCGTTCCCCCGTACGATCGGCGAAACTTCGATTAGTCTTAATTTCCACTTCGGCCGAAAGCGAAGATCAACGTTTACGAAGCATGTGCTACACCTCGCGAGAATTTCGAGCGCGAACATCTCGAGAAACCTCTGGAGCAAGCTACGCTTCGTCGACTCGATCCCGATCTTCGGTCGCTCCTTATTAACGAAGTAGAACGGATCGAGGAAATACGAACATCTTTCCGCTGCGCCATAAATTGTAACGTCAATTTACCGGTTCTCTTCGCGGCTTCCGAAACGAGGTTTGCAAAATTCGGCGACTGTTGGGTAAATTAACCCTAGAAAGATAACCATATGACAACGTACGTAAAAGATAACCATACGCTTCAGAGGCGCATGCTTTTCTAAGGCGTCAATTTTATACTAACAATGGATATTTATTTAAGTTAATCTAGTCATTTTAAAGGTTTGGCATTATCGTAAAAATAAAATGCATTTATATTATATTTTTTTATATTTTAAGTAATTTTAAACTTAAATCACTAGACCTCTATGAAAAATTAACAAGAATCAACAGTCTTCGCAGGCGCCTCTGCGACGTAGGTTATCTTTCTCGGGTTAAGGACGTT